AACTCTGCTGTTACCGGCTCTCCCGTCAGGAATTGGACCCTTGGGAGAGGTTCGGCTCGTGCGCTGTTAATGCGGATTTGCCCTACTGCGGGGGCGTACTGGCATTCCCTGGCGCGATGGCCCTGATTCCCGCAAGTAAAGCAGGCGTTCGCTTCTTTGCGCTTCTCGAGTTCCTGGTGACTCGCTGGTGGGGCCCGTGGGCGATCCCTTCTCCCTCTTCGTGACGACCCTGACGATCCCCATTGGTTGGTTTGAGTCTAGTCTATCGGTTCGGGCAGGTTGGTTATCGGGGCGGTAACGATAGGCGGGGGAGGCGTAGTATTTGCTCTCGGAGAGTTACGAGCTCCAGAGATTGCGTACTTGAAGGCACCGTTCGTCCTAGCTTCAACCATGTTATTGTATAGCTTATGGTAAACCGAGACCATCTCCGTGTACGTCGCCGGGGGATTTAGGAGGGAAATTGCAGCTTGTTGGAGTTCCGAGTTAACCTTGTTCTTCAGGAATTGGATACGCGCCGAATCATCCCATAGGTCGGTTCCCGCTTCGGATTGTAAGCGATCGAGTTCGGCGATAAACTCAGGGAAAGTCTTATTATTTTGTCTGAGCCTCTGGAGCTCGGTCATCGCTCTCTAGGCTGCGTGCAAGTCCTTATAGCGTTTATCCAAGTAGAGGAGCGCGTCCGGGACTTGTGGGGTCCTCATTTGAGCTTCTTCTCTAGCGACGAAATGTTCCATATACTTAGCGGCTTCTCCCACCAAGAAGAACTGGAGGTATGCGACTCGCTCGCCGTCTCCCATCCTTGCGACGTCTCTGTCGTACTTCATCTTGTTTTCCACCTTGCGTCTCCATACCATATATTCTTTGCGGTCTCCGCCGAATTCAGAAGGTTTCGGGATAATACTCTTCGTGCTCGCGATCGGAGGGGATTGTGGCATATCGGGTGCTATCGGGGGAGATGGGGTTATAGTATCCGTCCCACCACTTCCTCCGACGCGGTTCTGTTCGCTATATCCGGCTAACCTGGCGTCCATAGCCTGGAGTTGCTGGGCTTGTCTGTTTAATTGCTGTTGTAGCTCGCTGTTCTGTGTCTGTGTGTTCCCCAGTGTCGTGAGCAGACGCGTCATGATTTCCGTGTCATTGGCTCCCGGGTGCTGTGCTCGTATAGCACTAACTTGCTCTGGTGTTAAGTGTCTCTCCATCTGGAGATCCGTGTCTTTCCAGCTCGTTGGTCTTTTCGCCCAACGACTGCGCGTCTGTGACGGTTGTAGTAGTCGTCTGCTCCGCGGTAGAGAACTTCGCAGGACGATCTAATGTTGAGCTTTGCAAATTGAGACGGTTTGATCGCAGAAGTTACGAGAACCACTTTCATTTATTGCAAAGCTAAAGAAGAAGAGCTATCTACGACGCGTGCGCGATGTCCAAG